CCCTTGGCACTTTGTCATATGCCTTTTCTAGATCTACAAATACACAATGCAGCTCCTTCTGACCTTCCCTGTACTTCTCCATCAACATCCTCAAGGCAAATATTGCATCTGTGGTACTCTTCCTAGGCATGAAACCATACTGTTGTTCACAAATCTCCACTTCCTGCCTCAACCTAGCTTCAACTACTCTTTCCTAAATCTTCATTGTATGGCTCATCAACTTTATCCCTCTGTAGTTGTTACAACTCTGTGCATCACCCTTCTTATGAATTGGCACCAGAACACTTTTTCTCCACTCATCAGGCATCTTGCCAGTCTCTAAAATTCTGTTAAACAAACCAGTCAGGAAATTTACTGCCACTTCTCCTAAACACTTCCATACTTCCACTGGTATGTCATCAGGACCAACTGACTTTCCACTCTTCATCCTCTTCAGGGCTTTTCTAACTTCATCCTTTCTAACCTGATCTACCTTCTTCCTACTAGTCTCTGGCTCCTCGTTTCTACTTTCCCTTTCATTTTCCTCATTTAACAACTCCTCAAAGTATTCCTTCCATCTTCTCAGCACACTTTCCTCACTTGTGATCACATTCCCCTCTCTGTCCTTAATCAACCTCACCTGCTGCACATCCTTCCCAGCTTGATTTCTCTGTCTCGCCAATCTATACAACTCCTTTTCTCCTTCCTTTGTTTCCAAACTCTCATACAACTCCTCATATGCCTTTTGTTTGGCCTTGGCCACTTCCCTCTTCACCTCCCTTGTCCTCTCTTTGTACTCCAGTCTGTTCTCTTCTGTTCTGTCACTGTCCCATCTCTTCTTCGCTAATCTCTTTCTCTGCACACTCTCCTGGATCTCCTCATTCCACCACCAGGTCTCTTTGTCCTCCTTTCTCTGCCCAGAGGACATACCTAGCACCTTCCTACCTGTCTCCCTCATCACTGCAGCTGTAGTCTCCCAATCATCTGGGAATATCTCAACACTACCCAGAACTGCCCTTACTTCCTTCCTGAAGTCTTCACAACATGTCTCTTTCCTTAGTTTCCACCACTTGATCTTCTGCTCTGTCTTCACTCTCTTCCTTTTTGTCACCTCCATCGTCATTTTACACACTACCATCCGATGTTGTTTGGCTACACTCTCACCTGCCACCACCTTACAGTCTCTAATCTCCCTCAGATTACATCTTCTACATAGAATATAATCTATCTGTGTGGACCTGCCTCCACTCTTGTAAGTCACCCTATGTTCCTCTTTCTTTTGGAAATATGTGTTTACCACAGCCATTTCCATTCTCTTTGCAAAATCTACCACTGCCTGTCCTTCTACGTTTCTCTCCCTAACACCAAACCTGCCTATCACTTCCTCATCTCCTCTGTTCCCTTCCCCTACATGACCATTTAGGTCTGCTCCAATCACCACTCTCTCTCTCCTGGGGATACTCTCTACCATCCAATCTAGCTCCTTCCAGAACTTCTCCTTTTCTTCCAACTCACAGCCCACCTGTGGGGCATAACCACTAACAACATTAATCATCTCTCCTTCTACTTCTACCTTCACACACATCAACCTGTCTGACTCTCGTTTCACCTCTACCACATTTCTTACATATTCTTCCTTTAGGATCACCCCTACTCCATTTCTCTTCCTATCCGAACCATGATAAAACAGTTTGTAGCCTCCTCCAATGTTTCTAGCCTTGCTGCCCTTCCACCTGTTCTCCTGCACACACATGTCTACTCTTCTTCTCTCCATCATATCAGCCAGTTCTCTACTTATCCCTGTAATTGTACCTACAATCAGAGTTCCAAACTTCAGACCAACACTTCTATTCTTCCTCTTTTCTCTTTTTCTCCTAACTAAACGCCCTCCTCTTCTTCTCTGTCTTTGACCAACAGTAGCCCTATTTCCATCAGTGCCCTGTAAGTCAACAGCTATGTTGGTGGTCGTTTTTGACCCGGGCCCCGACCGATCCGGTATGGAAAACATTTGTTTGGCAAAGGTTTTACACCGACTGCCCTTCCTGACGCAACCCTCACCATTTATCCGGGCTTGGGACCAGCACTATAAAACACTAATTTGTGTACCCTAATGGCTGGTTTTGTACCCTAGTGGCTGGTATCTAACACAATTGTTCTGTTAAAATATGGTCTCTTAAGTTTAAATAAAACTAAAAAAAACAACAGCCAATTAACCAAATAACCCACCTGTAGCATCTGTATCTGCTGAACTGTATTAAGCTAAAACATTGCTCTTTATGGTCAGTGGAAAAGACAAGTGATTTTAGCTAACAGAGACATAACACTTGCTGATCCACTGCTGCCTGCGTCACTGTTCAAGAGTTATATTCAGATGTATCTGTAACACAACCTGACCACAGAAGGCAGCCGTGGATCAACTTCTAGGAAAAATGGGTCAGCCCGTGGCTCTGGCTCCAATCAAAGGATTGGTGAATGTAGGTTTAAATTCCAGCCACAGAACTGTTGTGTACTGAGCAGAAACAAAAACTCCCTCTCTGCTGGGCCCAATAAAAGTGTTGCCCACTACTTCTGCTTTAAATATTTCTCAAATGCAGAGGACAAATGTTATTTGTGATAAAGTATGTTTATACAATGATAAATAAAGCGTCTTCTACTTCTAAAATTCATTTTCCACTAAATCACCCTAATAGGATATACAGGGTTACTGATGGCATGGTGTTCTGTGGACATGCCCTGTTGCAGGAGGTGAAGCTTATGTTTCCTGGAGCTCAGTGTATGAACAGAGGAAACCATGAGATTCCTGCTCTGGTGCGAGCATGTAAAGCCAACACCTTCACAGACTTGGTTATCATCCATGAGACCAGAAGACATCCAGGTTTTTCTGTTCACTTATACATAATAATATAAAGAAAAGCCCAAAAATAGGTTAAAGTAAGCCAGAAGATAACTTGGGTTACAAATAGTTAAAATTCACAAAATGTGGCATCATGGTTAAACAATGTTACCACAGAAATTATTAAATGTTTGTTTGGCCCAAACATGTTGTCAGGTCTGTCTGTTTCCTGTTCCTGCTGTCTGCTGTGTGGGGTAAACTGTGTTATCACACTCAATTGTGTCTGCAGTTAGCCTCACTTGTGTCACCCGGTGCTCCCTGCATATATACACTATATTACCAAAAGTATTCGCTCACCTGCCTTGACTCATACTATGAACTGAAGTGCCATCCCATTCCTAACCCAGAGTTCAATATGATGTCAGTCCACCTTTTGCAGCTATTACAGCTTCAAGCTTCTCTTCTGGGAAGACTGTCCACAAGGTTGAGGAGAGTGTTTATAGGAATTTTTGACCATTCTTCCAAAAGCGCATTGGTGAGGTCACACACTGATGTTGGTCGAGAAGGCCTGGCTCTCAGTCTCCGCTCTAATTCATCCCAAAGGTGTTCTATCGGGTTCAGGTCAGGACTCTGTGCAGGCCAGTCAAGTTCATCCACACCAGACTCTGTCATCCATGTCTTTATGGACCTTGCTTTGTGCACTGGTGCACAGTCATGTTGGAAGAGGAAGGGGCCCGCTCCAAACTGTTCCCACAAGGTTGGGAGCATGGAATTGTCCAAAATGTTTTGGTATCCTGAAGCATTCAAAGTTCCTTTCACTGGAACTAAGGGGCCAAGCCCAGCTCCTGAAAAACAACCCCACACCATAATTCCTCCTCCACCAAATTTCACAGTCGGCACAATGCAGTCTGAAATGTACCGTTCTCCTGGCAACCTCCAAACCCAGACTCGTCCATCAGATTGCCAGATGGAAAAGCGTGATTCATCACTCCAGAGAACGCGTCTCCACTGCTCTAGAGGCCAGTGGCGGCGTGCTTTACACCATTGCATCCGACACTTTGCATTGCACTTGGTGATGTGTGGCTTGGCTGCAGCTGCTCGGCCATGGAAACCCATTCCATGAAGCTCTCTGCGTACTGTACTTGGGCTAATCTGAAGGTCACATGAAGTTTGTAGCTCTGTAGCAATTGACTGTGCAGAAAGTCGGCGACTTGCTTGATTTTATACACCTGTGGCCAGGCCAAGGGATTAGGACACCTGATTCTGATCATTTGAATGGGTGAGTGAATACTTTTGGTAATATAGTGTACCTGTATCTTATTCATGAAGACATCAAGACATTGCTCACAGTTAAAGGGATAGATTGACGCTGACTTATAATCAAAACAGTCAGAAGAAAGTAGTGAAGAAATGACATGAACTGAATCCTGGGATCAGACAACATTGAAGTTTTATTATGTGGTAAAGTAACATCAAGTGCAATGAATGATTATTTATCATTTATATATAAATATTATATGGTAATTTAACAAACAAATCATACTAATGGATAAGGAGTTAATAAACAAATGCATTTGGTAAAAGACAATTTAAACATTAACATATACACGCCGTAGATTTAACTTGAATGCTGTCCAATCAGGGTTTGGTCCCATGCTCTCAGGTTCCTCAGTCTGTGTCACTATCACTGAGCTAAATTGATAGAGGTCATACATTTGGGGAAAACTTTTATTTGCCATGAACGTTGTGAAGCATAAACCTTAAACTTTCACGTTGGCCAATGGATTTACATGATATATATATATAGATAGATGTACGAGTTCCGCAGAGAATGAAACGTGTGGCTGTTTGGTTCAGGGAGAGTGACAGACTGATGGCAGGATTTGAAGCAACACTCACAGCACCCCCAGACAACATTGAGTTATTATTATTATTATTAATTACATTATTATTAGATTATGCATCACATTTATATTTACATTAACATACATAATATGTGATTAATAATCTAGATAATATTGTTCCGCAAGTTTCCCGGAAGGTGGAGCATGTGGTTGCTTAGCTCAGTGGTAGAGACACAGTCTTGGAAACCTGTGATTGTATGCATCACACTTATATTTACATTAACCTAAGCAACCTAAAAGATAAAGCTATTAGTTCTCACCTAATTATTAGGTGAGAAGGCAGTACTATTCTGTTTTATGCTGGGTGGCAAGATTATCCGTAATACATAAATATTGACAGTTTATTTTTTTCTCTTTTTTGTACAAATTTGCATATAACTGAGAAAACCTCAAAAGGATACATACAGTTTACCATTTCAATGAAAAACACTCACATCCTTACAGAGATTAAATAAAATAAAAACAGGAGTTAAACACAAGTCACATACATACTAACAGGTTTTCCCATGTCAGAGTGCAGCCATCAAACACACATCTGCACAGGGACATGCACCCAAATCCAAACACACTAGCTAACACCTTTTTAACAGTGCTTAACAATAGCTGACCAGATGACAAACTGTCCAGAGAAGTCTTCAGGCAGATTAATGTTGTGAATCCAAATCCTTAAATTCAGTCCAGAGTCCATCTGCATTTACACATTAAAAGGCTCATATTTATCTGGACTACTTTTGGTGCTTACTAAGCAGATCTGAAAAGTGTAGGGTTCTCATCTGTTTGTGTAGACTCTCATCAAGTCCCACCCTGTGGACCTGCCCTGAAGGCTTCTGTAGTCATTTTGCCATCTGGTTTTTGGACGAATGAGAATTTCAAATCTACATTTTTGTAAGTCTAGCTCTGGCATGCTTCTGTATTTCTGTAAAAATGTGCTGATAAACCGGGCTTTCACACCTACTGTACATGTGAACAGACACACACAGAGACATCAGTTTAACATCAATGAAAAAAGATAACATAATTGTTGCTCAGCAAATAAAATAATCTGAAAGCCTAGGATAAGTGATGATGAGATTTCTCTTACAAAATCTAAAATTACCGACCAGGCCTGTCAGGAAGGCTGCTGTTCCTCCTCTCAGGCTGTGTATTGGTTCAGGCAGAGCTGGGCTTCAAACAAAGCATGTTATCACCAGGAATGAAGGACAGTACCAGGAAGTGTGAATGTCTGCCAAATGAACCAGGAACCATACTAAGATACCAGAAAAAAAATCACCTTAGAAATAATCCCTGCCTTTACCATTAAAAACCTCCCTTTATGATGGATTACGGAACATGAAAGCACAATACTTTTGTGAAAACTTAGCTTGTGAACGTTTGACTTTTTTCCAAGGTAGACTCCTGACTGACAGACCATCAGTCATAATCAAGGAAGTCCGGGCACTTTTGTGTAGCATTTGTGCAATATTTGATGGAATGAACTTAGTGTACATTTTGTCACACATCTGAGGATTAATCTGCAAAAACCTGACCTATTTGTGGACACATGTAACCACTGTGATTGGTGACTGAAGTTCCTTGAAAATATAATTTAGTTCAATGCTTTGATATGTGACAGAAAAACAGATTACTATCAGGACCGATGGAGGAACAACCTTTAGCCTGCTATATATAAAAAAAACTACTAAGAAGTTATTAGTAACATAGATTACTCTGACAAGCAGTATGACAAATACAGCCATGATATTAAACAGACTCTTCTAATCAGACTCCCTTCATCCTTTCTGTCCTTCCATTTATTATTTGTATTTAACTGTGGGACAGGGTCAGTCTGTAGCTGAACATTTGTGTGAATGAGCTTGAGTTTCTTTTTCGATTATGACAAATATGATGAGGAGTTGGCCCTCATTCATATGTCCTGAGTTCCTTGTACAAGCAATTGTACAGGTTGAGACCTACTCATATAATATCATAGAATCTTTCCAGAGTAAACAGTCTGCATGGTTACCAGTGTTGGAAACGGTTTTCATTTGCTGCAGATTCACAGGTGGGAAAGATGAATCTGTATTGATCATAGAAGATAGAGATGATCATCCGTTTCTAAAGTCAAACCCAATGAAAACATGGTAAACAGGAAGACAACAAAGTTCAACACAGCAGCTATGAGGTAGGTATAGACTGTAAAGACAAAAGCAACCAAACACCCTGTGCACACCGGGCGTTCAGTACCAGTATCTGTACATGAACACAAAATAGTTCAATAGGACAGAGTGTGTGCATACAATCACTGTGTGAGTTACTGTGAAAGTGTTACTTGATCAAGGATGAATCCTGGAGCAGCTGATTTACAAGGATGTCTGACACATGGCAGGGTCTACATTTTGGCACAAAATGGAGCCTGGTTTAAGTGAGAGGAGCAGAGCAAACCTAGACAGCTGGTCTGAGTTTCTTCTGATAACACACATTAAAAAGAGTCTCAACAGCTGCAAAACATTAATCACAACACAGAAATAGGATTAAATCAACTAACATTAATCAAAATAAAAATGATTAATAATATATATACCAAAGAACAGTGACTAGGGATGCACAGGGCCAATACTTCATTCTACTCATACTGTATGATCATTCATGCATATCAAACAGAATCATTTTTTCACCCCACCCCACTATTTTCTTGAGGTTGTGTAATATTGTGTATCTAGTCCTTTTGATCTTCACTTAGCCTTGTGTCTCCTAATGTCAGATTTATATTCTCTGGATCTTGTCGGCCACCACCACAGGGTTCTCTTTGCGGATCTTGGCAGCAGCTTCGGCCTTGTAGTCATAGGGACAGTTGTGCTTGTCAGAGTACCGATGGAGGCCACAGAAGAGGTTACCACAGCGGCAGTCAAATCCTGGAACCAGAAAAGGCACAGGTTTTCACAGGATGAATAACATTAAGCAGATAGCATTGGGTTCTGAAGCGAAGTTGTAGTTAATGTTATACTGATGGACACACGGTTTGAAAAGACAATAAGGTAAAATGGAAAATATATTCTGAAGAATTTTTACATTTGCCCATAGTATTTTTTTATCCATTTACAATGGCCCTTGATCAGCAGACAAATGATCAAATCAGCCCCAAAAATGAACACAATGTGAGATCAGTTTTTGAAAATATATCAATACCTCCCACATCCATTCTGCCCTTTAACAGCACTTTGCATATTGTCCATCAGCTCATTATCAGTGGACAGGAAGTGACAGGATGTGACAGGATGAAATGCTGTCTCCTGGAACATGAAGCTGTCCTGCTCATGTTTGTGTGTGTAAGCAGAATACAGATGAGTCAACAGCTGCTTTCTCAAGCTCATCAGGCCAAAATGTTGGAAAAACATGATACAGTTTGCCAACAGATAACAGTGTTGATAATGTGTCAAAACTACATGTGAGCTTATCTTAAAATAACCTGAAGTACCCCTTTCCACTGACTCATTTGCATCAGATAGTCCCCTATGTCATCTGTGATTTCTTACCGGTAAGTCCCACTCTTTTGCAGCACATGAAGCACCTATTTCTCTTGGGTTTGGAGGCGTCATTCTTGCCTTCTTCACTGGTCGAAGAGACTATTGGAGTTGGGCTAGAAGCAGTGGCAAGAGGCTGGCTAACAACTGCAGACCAACACATCGAAAACACATTAATCAAATGACATGAGCAGCAGCAGATGTTTGTTTGTATGTGATTCCTTGAAAGCCTCTGGCAGTGCTGCAGCTACTCTGAGCTAAACATGGATATATTTAAACAGCAGCACGTTCTAGTAAAAGTAAAACCAACAGTGAGGTTTAAAACCAGGAATTAAAAATAAACAGTGGCTGAAGTTGTTACTGAAAGGACTGTGTCTGAGAAATCACATGAACCAGAACCACATGGTTTCTTCAACATATTTAACAACAAGCATTTTGAAGAAAATGTCTCATTTAAGTGTCTCGTGTCCCATTTAAGCCAGGAGGGGACAGGGGCCAGAATGTGGACATATCACTCCTATAGCTAACTCCGAAGGTGGGTGGTGGGACCAGATTGGAAAAACAATTGCAGTGCAGACCTGATGTTTGTGGGTGATAAGGATTGATATCCCTCTCACATCAGTGTCCCTGTGTCTGTTAGTTTTACCTGGCTCTACGGGTTCTAGTTTTTCTTCTCTTGAGATGCTCATCTCTGTCATTTGTTGAGTCACAGGAAGAAATCCTTGAACATTTCTGCACAAAACGAACATTTTTAAATCATTAAAACAGAAACACATATTGATTAAGTAGATTGTTATAGCCTGTCAGGTCAGGACAGTCAAAACGGACCTAGATGTGTCGGGTGAGGAGGCAGAAGGCGATTCAACCTTGGCTAGACCGGCCTCTAGTCTGTGGATGGCAGAGGCCTCTGAGGTAGGACTAGTTGCTGAGGGTGGAGGTGGAGAAGAATGTTGGAAAGAAGTCACAACTTGAAATACACCCCCCACCCCCCCAGACAACGAAGGCAGTGTGGCAGTGAATGTGAACCAAAAACTTTTGGGTAAAACCCAAACTTATTAAATAGTAATCGAGCAAAAAATCCAGTTTCTTAAGATGAATACACCTTTAAGCCTAAGCCTTATGATAGACAGTTTCAGAGCTGATGGTTCATATGTTGCTTCCAAAGATGGATTTAAAACCATCTAGAGTCCAGATGGATGTGACGAACACATCACAAGTTCAAAAAATAGTTACATCAAAAGCAACCTTACAAAGTAGGGTTTTTTTTTTAACTGAAGAAGCCTCTTGAATGAGAGGCAAAATGTCTTAAAAAAACAAAAAAAACAAACCTACTTTGTCCAGTTGATTTCGATGTAACAATTTTTTTGATTAAATGACCTGGATGACTAGGTTCTCAGTACACAGATACATCACAAGGTCCATTGCTATTTCGGATGTCATATGAATGACAAAAGTCTTTTTGTGGAATATGCTGTGACCCTTAATGAAGGGATGGGCCAAAAGTGATTCTTCTTCATACACTTTAGTATGAAATGTAGTATTTAACACAGATTAAGACAAATGTTTTTGAACTTCTGACAAAAGTGACCATTGTTAAAGGTTAAAGGTCAATTTTTGTGGCATCTACTCTAAGTGTCACTAAATGTGAGCTGCTGTTAGTAGGCTGTTTTTTATCCTGCTATTAGTTTCTGGTTCCTGAAGTGAAAACATATTTATTGTCATAAACACATGGTGCTGAGGACAGTATGGTTTAAACCAAAACTGGTAAAAGATATTCTTTATGCTTACACCACTGGGACCTTGAACTACATGCAAACACATTTTTCAGCCCCAAAAAGTTCCCCTCTATAGAGGTAGACCCATCAGCTCATTGAAATAGGGTTGAATACAGTTTTCAATCATATGTTGATATCATATGTTAAACTATGACTGGATGTTCTTACCCATTGGGCTGAGCGGGCTCATGCGGTCGCTGCTTTGCTGTCTGGTCAAATGTTCCTTATAACAGACAGAGCACATGCCATTGGTCCGTGGGTTGCCGTAAAAACCACAACCTGTGGCACACAGCATAGGTCCTGGACTCTGGTTTGTCTCCTGGGCCATCGCTGACCAATGTCAGAGAAAAGAAATGTAGTGTAAATAATACATAATAATATGCTAAAAAGTCTTTACCATCTTATCAATCAAATTAACTTCATACAGACTTAAGTCTTCTTAACACAGATTAAAGGAAACATTTTTCATTTACTTGTGACGAAATGTGTAATGTGATATTTATCACGTCACACTCACACACATTTACACTATATTACCAAAAGTATTCGCTCACCTGCCTTGACTCATACTATGAACTGAAGTGCCATCCCATTCCTAACCCAGAGTTCAATATGATGTCGGTCCACCTTTTGCAGCTATTACAGCTTCAACTCTTCTGGGAAGACTGTCCACAAGGTTGAGGAGAGTGTTTATAGGAATTTTTGACCATTCTTCCAAAAGCGCATTGGTGAGGTCACACACTGATGTTGGTCGAGAAGGCCTGGCTCTCAGTCTCCGCTCTAATTCATCCCAAAGGTGTTCTATCGGGTTCAGGTCAGGACTCTGTGCAGGCCAGTCAAGTTCATCCACACCAGACTCTGTCATCCATGTCTTTATGGACCTTGCTTTGTGCACTGGTGCACAGTCATGTTGGAAGAGGAAGGGGCCCGCTCCAAACTGTTCCCACAAGGTTGGGAGCATGGAATTGTCCAAAATGTTTTGGTATCCTGAAGCATTCAAAGTTCCTTTCACTGGAACTAAGGGGCCAAGCCCAGCTCCTGAAAAACAACCCCACACCATAATTCCTCCTCCACCAAATTTCACAGTCGGCACAATGCAGTCTGAAATGTACCGTTCTCCTGGCAACCTCCAAACCCAGACTCGTCCATCAGATTGCCAGATGGAAAAGCGTGATTCATCACTCCAGAGAACGCGTCTCCACTGCTCTAGAGGCCAGTGGCGGCGTGCTTTACACCATTGCATCCAACGCTTTGCATTGCACTTGGTGATGCGTGGCTTGGC